ACACACACACACACACACACACACACACACACACACACACACACACATCTTCAAACAGTGTAAAGATCCATCAGCAGCCAAAGTGTTTTAAAATGTGAGCAACATCAATCACATCCTTTTAGAAACAGAATTTGTTTTGCAATTCATTTAAAAAATGGTTATAAATTCACAATTTGTTGAAACAGTGAGTTCAAACAGTGAGTTCCATGGACCTCAGTGAAGACAAGCTAAACAGTGCAATAAATCAGAAGTTAGCAATCAACAGTAACACAATGTAGAAATAATGAAGGTTAATTCAGTCCCGTCACAGTTATGTACCCCAACATATACAGAAACTGCAACATAATCAGTTCTTTGCATAGAATCTAAAAGCATTACATCTTGTTTTAGTAGTGACTGCTGAGCAAAGAATTCTCCCATTCACTTCAGAAAAGTGTAACTGCACTCTTGAAAATCACAAAAACTAAGCTCTTACAATTTTTTGTAAAGCGAAGACTGGTAAATGAAAATCATGTCAACCCTACTGGTTAGACTTGCAATCAGCTTGAAGAACTACCCATCTCCAAGTACCTGTCTCCACTGTTATGGAGCAGTAATCAGAAGCAGTTGTAAAATTCTGACCCTTATATAACAAGAAGCTGTTGCGTAAAACAGGCAATGGCTCCCTCTGCAGGAACTGGCAAAGCCCGGCAGTGGCATCACATTCAACAGCAGGAAAGATGGAGGGATCTTTCTGAGTTTCCTTGCAAACATTTACACAGTTGTACAGTTTGTCACTTGCAAGAACTACTGGCCTGACTCACAGACACATATCCCTAAATAACCAATAACCTCCATTACTGTCTTGGATAATCTTCCAACATACTGCAATTTAGTACAGTGATTTTGACAACTATACAAGATATTTTATAAGTTGTCAAGAATAAAGGATGGACGTTTACTTTAAAAAGTCTTTTTCTTCATACTAGGATGGATTTGAAGCAACTAATACAGTTTTAATTTAGTTAAAAACAGACTTATTTTTAAATCAGAGTCCCGGTTTTAACAACTGAAATTTGTGGTTGCACGAAATTGCAAATGCAGCATCAGATCACTGCAAAATAATCTTGCTGCAAACACAGGTATCATATGCCAGCAGTAAAAAGGCAATAGCTCCTTGTTCAGACACATCTGGTTCTTAAATGACCATTGTTGTGGGTTTGAATGAAAATAGCCCAGAATGCAAGGATATAGGGGAACACCATACCTTAAGACAACTTGCATTCTCACACTGTGGAAGGAAATGCAATGATCAACTACCAATGAATCACTGTTCATGATTGTTTTTGTAATCCCCAGCAATAGCAAAAATGCTTTACAATTGGATACAGAAGTAGCCTATTCCTTCTAACATTAGAACTCACACCCCTGTACATGCGTACCCCTGTAGAGATGATGTTTTTTGCATGCCTATTCTTACCAGAGGAGTATGGGAGAAAGTCCTGGTTTTTTCGGATGTCCCAAGTAAGGTTCGCACTGTGAACAGCACGGATATATTCACTTAATGTGGCGTATTGAACTGTAACTCCAAATTCATCTCTATGTTGGTTGATATAATCCATCAATGGATCCATGTTCTTAAACTGGACGGAGGCATTGAAGAACTGCTTGTCACAGCCCTGCCATCAAAAGAAAACAAGGGGAGAAAGAAAGTATGAAAAAGAGTTTGCACACAAACTGACAACACGATTTCATGAAGCAACTCGAATGTTCCTCAAAGATAGAGAGACATGTCAAAATGCTTTATGGGCAAAATGCACAAACTAGAGCAGATGCTGTTTAGAAGGCAGAAAAGAAAGAGAGAGGTTAGTACGGCATAAGCAGGTAAAACACAAGTGAAGAGAAAGGTCCATCAAAAGCTTCTGAAAATTGGAAAGAGAGGGATACAGCAAAGATGGGAGTGGGAGATGGGCAATTTCAAAGGCAAAGCCATAACAGTTGAAGTAATTACTGCTGCTGGAGGTGAAACAGATAAGAAGTGAGCCAGTACATCTTGTTTGTGATATACACTGCTGCCTCTGTGCAAAGCTGGCAGTAGAACTGAATGTTGAAAGTAGCAAAAGGGGTACCAACCAAGTTGGTACTTTGTCCTGGATGATGTTGAACTCCTTGAGTGCTGTTGGAGCTGCATGAGGGGAGGTGATGGCCTCGTGGTATTATCACTGGACTGTTAATCCAGAGATTCAGGTAATGTCCTGGGGGCTATGGCAGATGGCGGAATTTGAATTCAATAAAATTCTAGAATTAGGAGTCGAATGATGACCGTGAATTCATTGTCAATTGTCAGAAAAAACCCATCTGGTTCACTAATGTCCTTTAGGGAAGAAAACTGCCACCCTTGTCCAGTCTGGCCTATATGTGACTCCAAACCCACAATAATGTGGTTGACTCTTAAATGCCCTCTGGGGCATTTAGGGATGGGCAATAAATGTTGGCCTTGCAAACAATGCCCCCATCCTGTGAATAAATAAGGAAATCATCCAGACAAGTGGAAAGTATTCCATTACACTCCCCATTTATACCTTGTGGATCATGGATGGGCTTTGGGGAGTCAGGAGATGAGTTACTTGTCATTGACTAGCAATAAATGTTTTGATAATGAAGAAAACGAGGTAGAGGCAGAGATGGAAAATGTTTTGCTTCTATAAATGGCCTTAACAAGATAAGCAACATGGAGAAAATACTGAGCCTTGTCTCAACAGTCTATCAAGGCACCACATGCCAGCCAAGCTGATCTGGGAGTCAATGTCCCAGGTACACTGGAAGTTAAAGGGATCATAGTGGGTTACTTCAGTTGTTCTGACATTTAGCTCGAAAAAGTTGAGACTCATCAGGTCCTAATGTCATACAGTGATTTAACAACTCAGTAGTGATTCAATGCTGATAAAGTCAACATAACCTTTACATAAGAATGACTGTCAGATGCCGAAAACAAGAAACAAGTACAAAGGAAATAAGGGAAAAGTAACTTGTTTGGGATGGAACCTGCGCAAAATGGATGTGGAACAAAGGTCTAGCATGTTCATACACGAATTACACAAAATTAGCACAGTTTTCTTTGATTATAATATGTTTAATTATATTTTAAACATTCTGATCCAATCCAAATTGAGGGGTAAAGTGGTACTGTGGTCACACTACTGGATTAGAAATTCTGAGGTCTGGGCATGGTCTGAAGACATGCCAGATGTGGAACTTCAATTGAACTAATTAAATAATTCTGGAATATAAAGTGAGTATTAGCACTAGCAATCAAATAGCATCCAGTTCACTTGTGCTTTACAGCGGGAAATGTGTTGTCCTAATCTGGTCAGCCCAGAGCCGCACGAATGCAATTGACCCTTAAGTGCCTTTGACGTGCCCTAGCAAGCCATTCAGTCATATTCAAGAAAGTGGCTCATCACCACCTTGTATTACTCAGGCACTGGCAATAATGCTAGTTTTGAAGGAATGAAAAGAGTTTTGATGAGGTGAGTCACAAAACACTTTACCATACACCAAATATCATTCAGCATTTTGAAGCAAGAATCAGTTTTAAACTTTGCATAACTTACCCATGGCCACAGAACATGGCTAGATCGAAACCAGGCTGCTCTCTCTTTTATGTTGGATACCATTGTCTTTGCGTAAGCACAAATTGTTTCATTGGTCACTGGGAGGCTCATATTAGGATAAATTCCATCTTTTGGTGGGTCAGGAAAAACAGCAATGCCATTCCAATAAAAGCCAGATCTAAATAGCATTTAAAGAGATCCTTGAGTCAGAGTTAATCAATTGTAAACGTTTTTTCTTCTCCTTCACAAATAAGTGTCCACTGTTCCCAAACCATTTCTCTATACAACATGAAAACGGCCACTGAACATTTCACCTAGTTATTTGCAAAACTAATTAATATTGCACCCCAGTAGGACCGCATTTATGATGTTGGTGGAATCTTGTTTTTTTCTGTGCATCGCATGAAAGACTATTCCCACCTAACTTTGCACAAACTAATCATTTGTTGCCAGTACCAAGTTCAGGCGAGGATGAATGATCTTGCTAGTGCAGATAATGTGCACCAGAGGTAGGTTGGAAATCTTTGCAAAATGCACCCACATTATTTGCAACCTGCCCTCATTCCCCACAAGCTACATCCCTGGAAAAATAGTGGGTGCCGTGTTTGTAGCAGGACCTCCGATCTTTAGCCCCCTCCTCCACTTTCACAACAACGGAGAGGCTCTCTGTTATTGTGAAAATCCAGCCCTCAGTCTGGTACTCATCTATTGCAGTTCTGTGGCTATGCGGCATCTGCTCACTGCCTCCTCATCAGCAGGCTGTGAAGAAAAACAAAAATCAAACCTATGTCACATTGCTCTGACTTGTATGTGGGTGCTCCAACTCTAGCAGTCTGCCACCACGCTAGCAAGGTCACCATGTAAGTGTATCTAAATAAATGGTGCAATCTCAGGGCTGAGCAACCAACCTACACTGCCTCAGTTATTAAAGTAAACCTACTCTATTACCTGTTGGAGAACGGCAGAAAGGATGGGACGCAGTAACTGTATTGGTCCATAGTGTGAGTGAAGATTTCCTGGTGCTGGGCCAAAGAGGGTGATGCTTGCCATACAAACTGGAGCTTCTGTATGGGGGAGGAACAGCAGGAGCAGAGAGAAAAAGGAGTCAGTGAAAAACCCCACACGAACATCTACAGAAAATGGAGTGTCACATTGTGATTTAAAATGGTGCATATTCCACTGAAATGCCTCATGGTTTAAACACCAGAGAGAAAGACAGGTGTGAATTGTTCAATCTCTTGCTATTATAAGTCTTGTTGCTCTGCTTTAGGCTTCAAGAACAGGTCAGAGTCAACCTGTGAGCAGGTATAGTGCCTACAGTGCTCCCAAATCTACCATACTCAACAAGCTTCAAGCCCAATAGCAGAATTAGCAAGGACAATGAATTGTAGGCTCCAACCCACGAGGACAGAGCTACTGTTGGTTAATACCCCAGGATGACCTGTTCCCATTACAATCTTTAAGCACTAGTTAACAGACACCCAACATTAACCCAAGACAATTCTTGTACTGACTACTCTTCCTCCTTTCTAAGTGCCATTCACCTCCAAAGTCTGCATTATATTGCCCCACAACACAATTTAGATCAGTAACTTAACAAAGGGAAGTGAGAGAGAAAAGTTGACTAAAATTACTTTCTCTTGGCAACTTGTCAGAATGGATGGAATCACCAGCACTTGTAGCTACTGTTTTTTTACTCCTGTCACACAAAAGAAAATTTGGAATGTTATCCCAAACAGTTGGTTTAAAAGTTATGGACCACAGCAGACAAACAAACAAAGACTTGCATCTACTTTGCAATTTTGATCGCCTCAATCTCTAAAAGCATTTTACAGCCCATGAGGTATTTCTGATGTGTTACCCCTGTTGCAATATAAGAAGCCCATCAGCCAATCTGCAAACAGGAACCTCCCACAAACAACACTGTGACGATGATAACCAACTCAAGTGGCGCTATTTGAGGCAGAAAAATTGCCCATGACACCCAAGAGAATTTCCTGCTCGTTTTTTAAAATAACTTGGTGGGATCTTTTACACTCGTTCGAGCGGGCAGGAGGGGCCTGAGTTAGGTTTCTTACCTAAAGGACAGCCATTTCTGACAATGCAGCACTCCCTCAATACTGCAGTGAAGAAGCAGTTGAGACTTTGCCCTCACGTTCCCAGAGTGAGGCTTGAACTTACAACCTCCCAATCCATAGGCAAGACCACTACCAACACTGCTACATTCTCTTGGTGAAATATGAAGAAACTCACAAACCTGTGCCCTCCCTGCAGTCCCACGTAATAAAACAGTTGTTGAATTGTTGAACCCATTAGCTTATAGCATCAACCTTTACTTTTTTATGTCTAACCAGAAATTTTTACAATCTCCATGAAGATTGAACGGAAACAAAAGCAGGGTTGCCTGCCATGGGAGGGTGAACCTCAAGCCAGGAATTTGGAAACCCAACATGCTCCTGATTTGAAATTGAAAATTCTGGAAAAACTCAGCACTATCTGTGTAGAAGGAAAGAGTTCACATAGCACTCTGCACAGATACTGCCTGACCTGCTGAGTGTTTGCAGCATTTTCTTGTTTTTAAATTTCAGATCTTTGGTTTTGTATTCATAGCTTACACTGCAGATACTTACACAGAAAAGATTCTCTATGTTTGAATGACGCTTGGGCAGACTGTAGCTTTAAGGTTTACCGGTGTTGTTAAACTACTCGCACGCTATTCTGCACGTGCTCCCCTTGATTTATTCAAACAAATAAATGCAGCTAAATCAATTCAGAACCTGAGTGCAGTTTCAGTGTGATACGTTGATTTTTCCAATTTAATGAGGGGCATGGAAGAGGAAGAAAATGCTGAGAGCTCCAGCAAGCTCAGATGACTTGCAGAGAATTCCCAAGGGCCGGATTTTCTGAGCAGTCACAACAAATGTCAGTGCTCCTGACTGGACCTCTCAGTGCCTTTCTGAACCTGATGGTGACGGAAACATGCAGCTAGACTTCCCGTGGATTTTAGTAGAGTCGGGGGGATCTACAGCACAAGCTGCAATGAGTCAATGTTACAGGTTGAGACTGGATGCCAGTGAATGAATGAGTGTGTAGGTCGATATTGAGGATTAAGTAGGTGGGGAGAGTGACTGGGCTGGCAGGAGGGTGGGGTGAAACTCTGGTCAGGCTGAGTGGTTATTCATGCGATGGGGTGGGGTGATTGGAAGGATGGAGGGTGGATTGGTGAGTTGTTGGACTTGATTGTAACCTGCCTAACATTAACCAGGTAAGGATTCAGGAAATCACATTGGAACTGTCAAAAGTCGCAGGTTCTCACTCAAGAGGGACCCGGGGAGCTGGGGAAGTCAAAACATTCAGAGCAATTCAAACATGGATCTGTAGCTCAGATCTGTGGCCTTCCACAGGGTCCCATCATGCATCTCAGGCAAATGCCCAGTCTCCGATAATCCAGAGACTGGAAGATTTGAATGTCTGTCGGGTTGAAAGTCAAAAAGCTGCAACCTCTGCCTTTCAGGTAGTGGGATGTCTTTTCACATTTGACAGGAAGATCCTTAAGAAATAGGCAGTACATTTATCAACAAGAGCCTTAACCATCAATACTCAGGTGGCAACCTATGTAGTTATGTATGGGGGAGGCAATGGCCTAGTGGCATTATCACTGGACTGTTAATCCTGAGACCTAGTTATTGTTCTGGGGATCCGGGTTCGAACACCACCATGTGGTGGAGTTTACATTAAATATCTGGAATTAGGACCATGAAACCATTGCTGATTGTCAGAAAAACCCATCTGGTTCACTAATATCCTTTAGGGAAGGAAGCTGCCATCCTTACCTGGTCTGGCCTACACGTGATTCCATTCCCAGTGGCTGACTGTTAACTGCCCCCTGGGCAATTAGGGATGGACAATAAATGCTGGCCTGGCCAGTGATGCCCTCATCCTGTGAATGAATTAAAAAACCGGTCTGTTGCAGGAGACGCTGAGTGGTTTTCACAGGGTTGAGAGAAAAAATCTCAGGGAATCTCATTTAACTCATCCTGTGCACCTCTCTGTGTCACAAGTCTGCAAGATTATGCAGCATTAACCTTCAGATCCCAGCTGATTGTGATACAGGGATACAAGTGAGCGGGAAACGCCAACATTTCTGATTGCATTTCATTTTGAGGATAAAGTTCCCACTCGCTCTAGCATCGTGTGATTAAAAATGTGGTAGTTCAAACAACCTCACAACACCAAAAAGGCAAAATTGGACACAGACAGTCACAAAAAGTGTGGCGATGATTCAGCAGCCATTTGACATTTCAATAATAGGGCCGATGATTCATTTTGCGTTACCACTCAAATTAAGTTTCATCCCGTATAACTGTGATCAGTGACTGATTAAAACACAGATAGTCCCACCAACCACCTCCGTGACAGGATTTATACATCTGAAACCCTAGTGCTACATTCAGTAAAGCCTTGTGCCTCACTGGAAGAAAACTAGAGGGTAGGAGCATGAACGTATTACACTAGACCATACATGCACAAAAAGACAGGCAGAAGTCTGAATTTGGATGACTTTAACAGTGAGATAATCCCAAAGCTTTTCCCCTCCTCCATTCACCTTGTTTCTCTGCATCATTTCCTTTTCATCGTAGTCAATGCGAGAGATGAGATGAGCATTAAATCCGGCCAAAGCAAACACTGTGGGGGTTGTGGCTGAGGCACCAAAGGGATCCACGTGCCATGAAAACTGAGGCCTTGTTCCAAATGTCTCATACAGGAAACCGTGTCCTTCTGCAAAGACAGAGCTACCTTCGTAAATGCCTCAAAATCAAGGAGAATTACATATTAAGAGCTGTACATATCCACATGAGACCAATGTGATTAGAAATATCACCAACGCAATTAACATGGGTGGAACAGCATACAGTCATAATGGTCTACAGCGTGGAAACAGGCCCTTCGGCCCAACTTGCCCATGCCGCCCAGTTTTCACAATTAAACTAGCCCCATTTGCCTGTGTTTGGCCCATATCCCTCCAGACCTATCCCATTCATGTGCCTGTCTAAATACTTCTTAAATGACGAAATTGTACTCGCTTCCACCACTTGCTTTAAAGAGCAAAATGTAAAGATATTTAACATCTCTGAAAAATAAGACACGAAAAGGCAATGATGTATCACAGTAACAGCAAATTCTGTAAAGAATGCAGCAGGTCAATTGGTCAGCAATTTCGAAAGAAGATGCCACATTCGTGATACTTTGGATGCATACATTTCACCACAGCCAAAGGAAAAAACCTGAGAAATACCTTATACTAATGTTTTGTAATGATCAAACTGTGGGAACTGTGTTGATTCAAAATAAGGTTTTTAACTTTTAATTCATTGTGTGTTTCTCCAATCGCAGTTGAAAACGTCATTCGATGCACTTTAGGAAAGAATACAAACCTACGTTCTGAAGGCTGGAGACAACATTCAGCTTTGAAAGTATCAAAAAGTCAAGTTGGCTTTAAACACAACCGGGAACATAAAGTGACATGTTGTCAAACCAGCTCAAAGTTACAGTTTTGAATGAAGGTTTGGGAGGGGGAAAAGGATACTAACCTGTGAGCTGTAAGATCTGTGAGCTGAGTTCTGTTACAGCTTCATCGTGCATCACCTGACCTCCAATGATAAACTCCAAACGTCCTTCATCCAGCAACTTACGCACCTGAAATTAACACTCATTGTAAATGCGGTTTGTTCCTGCTGGAAGTGCACAGTTATTACTATCAACATGATTTAAACCTACTCACAATGAAATTGTTAGAGCCTTCGCTAACTTTTCATTATTCATTTTATTCTTTTAGCAGTTTTGGTTTGGAGCTGTGGACAGGGAACTGTGAGCTAAAGATGAATTTTGGTCTGTGGGTAATAGCTTGTGTCAAATAGAAAACAGACCAAACAAGCTTGTGTTTATTCATGAGGCCAAGCCTGGAACATAATTGCAGCTTTCTGATCAAAAGGTTCTACAGATGGTTCGTCAATGGGAAAGAACATTATTTTTAAACAGATAGCGGAAGTTAACTATTACTGAGGTCACTACCTCGGAATTAGTTCCAGAAGTCTGGAAAAGACGTTATGCTCAAGCGGATGGTAGATGTTGAATGGTAACTGGGGGAGACAGTTGGTCTGTCAGGGAAGGACCAGATTTGGAACTGGATTTTGAACTATGTTTTCTGTGAGAAAGAGTCTGGCTGTTGTTGCTGATGAAGATTTGAAAGCTCCCTACCTATTCTCTATTGAGCAGCTCTTGGATGCTCAGAGAATAGAAAACATTTATTACTGCCTTTGTCTGAGTGAACTGTAAAGGTGATCTGACCATCATCTTTAGAAAATCAACCAAGAAACCATCATTTATGCCTGTGGACCAATGCATCACAACAACTGCTTAAGTAATGCAGCCAGTTATGTTCTTTCAGTTATCCCTTAATTGTGCTTGTTTGTCTGTCTGTCTTTTGTGTAAATGGGCTGAAACAAATTAATTTGTGTTCAATTTTGCTCTACTAAAGTTACTGTTAATAAATTAAGTCTTTTATTTAAGATACAAACCAGTGTCTAGAATTGTTTATTCATAAAGCGTAGAATTGGTTATTTGTAAGGTCTGATTAGGAATCACTAGGGTCAAATTTGACAGCCTCCGAAGGTTTTAATTTTACTGTGTTACGGATACAGAGGTAGGAAGGCTGATTCAGTTCAGCTTCGTGCCTCCATGTCTCAAAAGGATAAAATTGCTAGGATGGGAAGGGATGAGGGAGTGTGCTGAAAAGTTTCATCAGAACATTTTTTTTATGTTTAGGAGCATCAGTTACGTAGATGGATTGGAGAAGCTGGATCTGTTGTCCTGGAGATTAGAAAATTGAAGTGATTTGATGACATTGTCCAAAATAATGAAGGATATGAACAGAACAGTTAGGAAGGAATTGCTCTCACTGGTAAAAAAAAAGTTGAGAACCAGAGGAGACAGATTAAAAGATGAATGGTAGAAGGTTCAAAGTACATGAGTCCCTAAAGCCTATCCACCAGCCACAAAGCACAAGTCAGGAATATGATGGAATACTCCCCACTTGCCCTGTCTGGGTGCAGCTCCAAAAATACTCAAGAAGCTTGACACCACCCAGGACAGAGCAGCCTTTTTAATTGGTGCAACATCCACAAGCATCCACTCCGTCCCCCACCATCATTCAGTAACAGCAGTATGCACTGTCTACAAGATGTGTTGCAGAAATTCACCAAAGATCATCAGACAGCACCTTCTAAACCCACAACCAGCTCCATTTAGATGGACAAGGGCAGCAGATACAAGGGAACACCATCCCCTGCAAGTTCCTCTCGAAGCTACACACCATCCTGACTTGGAAATATATTGCCGTTCCTTCACTGTGGCTGGGTCAGAACCCTTGAATTTCCTCCCTAAGGGCATTGTGGGTCTACCTCCAGCAATGTGGATTGCAGCTGTTTAAGAAGGCACTTTCTTAAGGGCAACTTCAGGGCTATCCAGCAACACCTATGCCCCACGAGCAAATAAAAGGAACTGGACTCGAAACTTTAATTGGGATCTCTCTCCTCAGATGCTGCCAGACCTGCAGGGTTTCTGTTCAGACACTTTCTGTTCTTATGTTAGAAATTCAGCGTCGGCTGTATTTTACTTCCCTTTTAGTCTCACTTCTCTCTGTTTTCCACACTGAACTGCAATTTTCTCCTCTTCAGATACTTACCCAGTTCCCCATTGGAAGGTTACTCGAAGGCCTAAGACAACAAAAGCCTGTTTTTGTGGTTATAAGATTCAACAATCAGTCCAACAGAGTATAAAAACACAACTGTGCAATTTTTTTTCCTATTACCTGCTCTTTCTGTGTATCAGTGGCCACCTTGTCCCACCACAGCCGAAAGAATTCCTGTTCCACCACAATAAACTTGCGCTGTTTCCCCTTTATCAACTCCTCCACAACGGTTGTATAAACGTTGGCTGCATATGCATGCATGCTCTCCTGTTCGATGACAAATTAGTTACAGGTTTAGGATATAACTTTCTCAGATTTGTACACAGCACACTCTACCAGCAGTAACAATCATCTTGCATTATTAGTAAAGACCTTGACAATAGGCCCAGCAACCTAACAAGTAATTTAGCACAAACTAGAGACAATAGCCATCGAATAGATCCATGCAATAGATCTATCTTTTGCAATGCAAAACAGGTTCATTGTAAATTAGCAGCTGACTTTTCACTGCACCGACTTCTGTATTCTATTAGCTCAGAAAATATTGTCTAGATTTCTAATTTCAAACTAAGTAAAAGTCATAGAGAGATTAAGAAATGGGTCTCCAAAAAGAGTTTCAATTATCATTTGTGAACTTCAACGAAATTTAAGAAGGTGCAAATCAGCTGATTCATTGTCAACCTGCTCTGTGCTGTTGGCATACAGCAATTTCACCCTCCGTGCTTCAGCTTTCAAGTCACCAGAGTTAAACGTAGTGTCCAGCCACCATAAATGTAATCAGTTTTATATAAAAGATGGGCTGGTAATAATTCAAAACTGGGAAAGGAAACAGGGGCTAGTGCACACACTGGTGGACATTTCCAAATAAATGCCATATAGTTGAGCTGCATCACTAAGTTGCATTCTCTCCTGCAAAATGAACCTTTTAGTTAAACTGGGTTTGTGCAGATAATGATTTATTAGTTATAAAATAAAACGGAATAAAAGAATTGGTGAAATTAGGTATCATTCCAATTTCAAACACAAATATGACATATTTCACATATTGCATGATCAAATCAGCTTTAGGACTCTGGTCACACTCATTATATATAGTTCTCTGCAAACTTGCAGGACAGGATAAAAAGAGAATTGACATTGGAAAAAAAAAGGGTTTTTTTAAGCCTTGTAAATTTTGCCCTAAGAACAGAAGATGTTAGTGCTGGCACATCAAGCACTCTAAGGTTAAACACAGAATTAAAACGTGCAGAGCAATTTCTCTATACTCATCTTAGAGTAAAAAAAAAGTGCAGGTAAAATGAAAAGCACAAAGCCTAGCAGGTATAAAATGAAAACAAAATGAAAACTGAAGTTACGGTCATTGTTCAACGTGACCATTTCATGTGGATTTTCGAGAACACTGATTTATGATAAGCAACCTAAGTTTAAAGAGCCATTGATAATTATACAGCATTTGGCAGAATCTATATATTATCTGTAAATGGTACAATTAAAAGATCATAAGTTCAATGTGCTTAAACACCTCACAAACTGCAGGACTTTCAGCTGACTGTGCATTCACGTCAAGGATATTGTGTTTAATTATTAACTTTTAACAGTTCATATCCTTTAAAGGCATTTCAAGAGAAATGTTTTACTTTAAGTCCTTGTGAAGAAACAGAATTCACAAACTGGGACCCATGAAACTATATGTCAGAGCAGAGACATAGGTGACCTGATAGAGATCTCTAAAATTATGAATTGATTTGATAGGGCAGCTAATGCAGAATGTGTTTCTACTTGTTAAAGAGTCCAAAACTCAGGGCCATACATAAAAACGGTCACAAATAAATCCAATAAGGAATTCAGGAAAAACCGCTTTACCGAAAGGTTGGTAAAAATGTGGAACTTGGAGTGGTTGGAATATTTAGCATGGATCTATTGCAGGGAAAAATAGATAATGACAAGAGTGAGTAAGAAATGGAAGGTTATGCTGATAGATGTAGGTGAGGTAAGGTGGGAGGAGAATTTTATGGGGCATGAACACTGACACAGACTGTGAACAGTCTGTTTCTTTGCTCACAATTATTATGTAGTATTTGGTCAAGATGAAACAAAAAATGTCAGTTTGATGGAGTAATATAAGGTAATATTTAGTTTAACGTTCCTGGCTGCTAATGAATGCAGATGACATTTCAAAGCTTCATTTAAGTAGTTGTTACCACACACTCAATACAACCCTAACACCTGACAGTAAATGATTATTACTCTACAAGTGAATAAAAGAAAGACTTGCATTTATACAAAGAATTTCAGGACAAGGTGGTATTCTCAAAGTGCTTTGTAACCAATTTACTACTTGAAGCGCAATAACTGCTGGAATGTAGTAAACATGGCAGCCAATTCATGCACAGCAAGATCCCAAGATGGAACTAACCAGCTAACATCCTCTTTGTGATGACTGAGGATTAGCTATCAGACAGGACATAATTAACTTTCTCCTCTTTGAGATGAGATCCTTTGTGTCCACCTGAGAAGATAGATGGTGTCTTTCTATATTCAGCCTGCTTCTTACATGTATTATCAACCTGACATCTGTCATACGCAGCACTTTCTGGTTCATCTCATTCACCATTTATTCGGTTATCCAGGGAACTCTGGCTTTGGTCAGCCTCCCTTTCCCACCGTGGGAATGCATCTTGACTGTACCTTAACCATTTCCTCTTCAAGGACACCCGTGGTTCTGTTACAATTTCACCTACGAATCTATCGTTCCAATTTACCCAAGTCAGGTGTATTCTCACAACACTGATATTGTCCCTCCTTCAATTCTTCTTAATCTGGGTTGCTCTGTGTCCTTTTTTTGCAGCTGACCTAACCAATGGTGAAGTTATTGAATTTCTGTTCTGTCAGCTTGAAAACTTTACTGACCTTGCTGTTATAAGCCCTTGGTTGCCTCATTGGATTCAATGGTCCGTACTCCCCTTCTCTGCACATTTAACTGGTAAAACACTGCAAACAAAGGCAAACTATTCCTTTAGTGTCAAAATTGTATATATTTTGGTGGAGGAGAGGAAGACATTTACATGACGGAGTAAGACACAGGAGCAGAACTATTGTATTTGGCCAATTGAGCCCGCTCCGCCCTTCAATGACATAATAGCAAAGCAGACTCAATGCTCCACTCCACTTTCCAGATTCACGCCCAAAACTTTAATTCCCTCCTTGATTGAAAATCTGCCTATCTCAGCTGGAATATACTTACTGACTCAACCTCAACGATCTGCAGCAAAGAATTCCACAGATTCACTATGCTCTGAGAGAATAAATTCCTCCTCATGGTACAAGACAAGATCTTTCAAAAATTGATTGGAGTTGACTGTTTGCAGGTAAAAGGACGTCTGACCAGTGGGAGGCATTCAACAGTGTGATGACGAGACTTCGGAGGCATCTTGTTCCCGTTAGAGTGAAGGGGAAGGTTGGTAAGATTAAGGGACAATGGATGAATAAAGACATTGAAGTTCTAGTCAAGAAAAAAAGAGAATCTTATTTTCAATATAGACAACTTGGTTCAATTGAATCTCTTGAGAAAAAGAGTGTCAGGGCATTCTTAAGAGACAAATCACGAAGGCAAAGAGGGGATATGAGATAGCATTGGCAGATAAGGTTAAGGATAATACAAAGAGATTCGACAAATACATTAAGAGCAAAAGGGGAACTAGAGAGAGGGTAGGGCCTCTGAAAGATCAAGGAAGTCGTCTTTGTGTTGAACTCCAGAAGATGGGTGAGTTTATACTGTGGAAAAAAGAAATGGACTTGAGAGAATGCAGAGAAATAAACTTGGATGTTTTAAAAACAGTTCACATTACAAAAGAGGATGTTTGGGAGGGCTTAGAGAATGCAAAGGTGGATAAGTATCCAGGACCTGATCTAATGCATCTCTCCAATCAACTTTTGAAAGTTCTTGTCTTGTACCATGAGGAGGAATTTCGTCTTTCAGAGCACAGTGAATCTGTGGAATTCTTTGCTGTGGGAAGTAAGGGAGGAGATTATGAGACCCCTTGCAGAAACATTTGCATCATCTATAACTATGTATGAGGTGCCTGATGACTGGAGAGTGGCTAATGTTGTACCTTTGTTTAAGAAAGGTTGTAAGGAGAAACTGGGGAACTACAGACCTGTGAGTCTGACTTTGGTTGTGAGTAAATTGTTGGAGGTGATTATAAAAGATAGGATTTATGGACATTTAGAGAGGCAAAAATTGATTAGGGATAATCAGTATGGTTTTGTGTGAGGAAAATCGTGTCTCAGAAACTTGACTGAGTTTTTTGAGGAAGTTATCAAAAAGATTGATGATGGCAGAGCAATAGACATTGTTTATTTGGATTTTAGTAAAGCCTTTGACAAGGTTCCACATGGTAGACTATTTAGTAAAGTTAAGTCACATGGGATTCAGGGTGAGCTTGCCAATTGGATACATAATTGGCTTATCAGCAGGAGACAGAGAGTGGTGGAGGGTTACTTTTCAGACTGCAGACCTACGACCAGTGGTGTTCCACAGGGATCGGTTCTGGGTCCTCTTTTGTTTGTCACTTAAATAAATGATTTGGACAAGAATATAGCAGGCTTAGTTAGTAAGTTTGGAGATGACACCAAAATTGGTGCATAGTAAATGGTGAAGAAGGTTTTCTAAGATTACAGAAGGATCTTGATCAAATGAGTCAATGAGCTGAAAAATGGCAGATGGAGTTCAATCTGGATAAATGTGAGGTATTACATTTTGATACGACAAGTAAGGGCAGCGCCTGTACAATTAATGGTAGGGCCTTGGGTAGTGTTGTAGAACAGAGGGACCTAGAGGTGCAGGTACATAATTCTTTGAAGTTTGCATCACATATAGATAGGGTGGTTAAAAAGGCGTTTGACACGCTTGCCTTCATTGCTCAGTCTTTTTTGAGTATAGGTGTCGGGAAGTCATGTTGAGGTTGTACAGGACATTGGTGAGGCCTCTTCTGGAATACTGTGTCCAGTTCTGGTTACCCAGTTTTAAAAAAGTCATGAGGCAAATTTTTTACACTGAGGGTGGTTCGCATGGGGAATGAACTTCCTGAGGAAGTGGTGGATGTGGGTACAATTACAACGTTTAAAAGACATTCGGATACGTACATGAATAGGAAAGATTTGGAGAGATATGGGCCAGGATCAGGCAGGTGGGACTAGTTTATTTTGGGATTATGTTCGCTGTAGACTGGTTGGAGTGAAGGGTCTGTTTCTGTGTTGTATGACTA